TGTACATTTTCTAGGTCAGCAATTTCACCTGCCTTGAAAGGTGCTGTTAGTGTGCAGCAATATTCCAGCCTAGATAGAACAAGCAACCTGAAGAGTGTCATCATGGGCTTGGCATCCCTAGTTTTGAAGGTTCTCATTATCCATCCTGTCATTTTTCTAGCAGATGCGATTGATACAATGTTATGGTCCTTGAAGGTGAGATCCTCCGACATGATCGCTCCCAGGTCTTTGACGTTGGTGTTTCGCTCTATTTTGTGGCTGGAATTTGTTTTGTACTCTGATGAAGTTTTAATTTCCTAATGTTTACCATATCGGAGTAATTGAAATTTCTCATCGTTGAACTTCATATTGTTTTCTGCAGCGCATTGAAAGATTTGGTTGATGTTCGCCTGGAGCCTTGCAGTGTCTGCAATGGAAGACACTGTCATGCAGATTCGGGTGTCATCTGCAAAGGAAGACACGGTGCTGTGGCTGACATCCTTGTCTGTGTCAGTATGAGGATGAGAAACAAGATGGAACAGAGCTTTTCACCGTGCCTGCCTCGGACTTTACTCTGTTGACTACTACTCTTTGTGTTCTGTTCGTGAGGAAATTATACATCCATCTACCAACTTTTCCTGTTATTCCTTTAGCACGCATTTTGTGCGCTATTACGCCATGGTCAAACTTGTCGAAGGCTTTTGCAAAGTCTGTATATATTACATCTGCATTCTTTTTGTCATGTAATGCATCTAGGACCCTGTCGTAGTTACTCTTTACATTCCTTTACAACCCTTGCAAACAGTTCATCAGGGCCTGGGAATTTGTTAGGTTTTAATTTCTCTATTTGTCTGGGGACCACGTCACTAGTTACCCAATCGTGCATAGTTTATGATCGTCCTGTTCTACATTATTTATTATTTCTGGAATTTCGCTAGTATCTTCCTGAGTAAAAACTGAGAGGAAGTAAGTGTTGAAAAGTTCACACATTTCTTTATCATTGTCAGTGATCTGACCTGAGTTACTCTAAAATAGGCCTATCTTTTCCTTAATCTTACTTCTATATACCTGAAAGAACCCTACTGGGTTAGTCTTCGAATCCTTTGCGACATTAGCCTTATAATCCATTTTTGCTTTTCTTATTCCTTTTTCATATCTATCTTTAATTGAATATACTGATTTCTTAAATGCCCATCCCCTCTTTTGATACGCCTATTTATGCCTCTCTTTTGACCAATGAGATGTTTTAATGTATTGTTTGAAAGAGCAATTCGTTTATGCTACTGGTGGATGGATATCAACACTGGCACATCACGTCTGCAAAGCTAGCGACATACCATTATGTGGTATAAACCTTGGTAATAAATACCGACAAGTTGGTTTAGAAAGACACGTAAGCAAACACCATAACATATTTATTAGAAAACATTTCGGTCCTGGAACCTTGATCACTTCTAACATACAGAGGTAGAAAGACATTATATATATAGGCGGAGAGTGAGGTGTGACGCACGTGACCTGAGGAATGTCATAAGAACATAAGAATGGAGGAACACTGTAGAAGGCCTACTGGCCCATGCCAGTGTTTGCTTACGTGTCTTTCTAAACCATACCATTATGTGAAGGACAAGAAACACCTGCACCTCATCACCACCAATACCTGCACTGAACTTTAGTATGTTAGGTTAACCTGGAGTTTACCTGGAGTTTACCTGGAGAGGGTTTCGGGAGTCAACGCCCTTGCGGCCCGGTCTGAGACAAGGCCTCATGGTGGATTAGGACATGATCAACCAGGCTGTTACTGCTGGCCGCATGCAAGCTGACGTACGAACCACAGCCCGGTTGGTCAGGTTGGTCAGGTGCCTGTCCAGTGCCTTCTTAAAGACAGCCAGGGGTCTATTGGTAATCCCCCTTATTTATGCTGGGAGGCAATTGAACAATCTTGGGTCCTTGACACTTATTGTGATGTCTCTCAGTGTACTCGTGGCGCCCCTGCTTTTCATCGGGGGAATGTTGCATCTCATGCTGAGTCTTTTGCTTTCATAGGGAGTGATTTTCGTGTGCAAGTTTGGTACCTATCCCTCCAGGACTTTCCAAGTGGGGAATACTGAACAAGTACCTTCAACCGTTCCCAGTAGCTTAGGTGCCTTATCGTACTTATGTGTGCCGTGAAAGTTCTTTGTATACTCTCCAGGTCTGCAATGTCGCCCGCTTTGAAGGGGGCGTTAGTGTACAGCAGTATTCCAGCTTAGAGAGCACAAGCAATTTGAAGAGAATCATCATGGGCTTGGCGTCCCTAGCGGATGAGGTAGATACATTGTTGTGGTTTTTGAAGGCAAGATCCTCTGACATTATCACTCCCAGGTCCTTCACGTTACTTTTCCGCTCTATTGTATGGTTTGAATTTGTCGTATACCCTGACACATTTTTAATTTCTTCAACTTTTCCATATCTGAGAAGTTGAAATTTCTCCTCGTCGAACTTCATGCTGTTTTAAGAGGCCCATTCGAAAATTTGGTTGATGTCCGCTTGGAGTCTCTCGGTGCCTTCGATGGAGGTCACTGCCATGCGAATCGGGTGTCATCCACAAAGGAAGACATGGAGCTATGGCTTACATCTCTGTCTATGTCAGAAATGAGGATGAGGAATAGAATGGGAGCAAGTAGTGTGCCTTGTGGAACAGAGCTTTTTACCATGGCTGCCTGGGACTTTACTCTGTTAACTATAACTCTTTGTGCTCTATTTGTCAGGAAGTTATAGATCCATCTACCAACTTTTCCCGTTATTCCTGTATCACGCATTTTGTGTGCTATTACACAATGGTCACACTTGTCGAAAGCTTTTGCAATGTCTGTGTATACTACATCTGTATTTTGTTTATCCTCCACAGCATCTAGGACCTTGTCATAGTGGTCCAGTAGCTTGGACAGGAAGGAGCAACTGCTCTAAACCCATGTTGCCCTGAGTTGTATAAATGTTGTAAATCTAGAACCTCTCAAAGATTCTTATTATATAGGATGTTAGTGCTATCGGTCTGTAGTTCTTTGCAATTGTTTTACTGCCACCTTTGTGGAGTGAGGCTACGTCTGTTGTTTTTAGTGTGTGTGGGATGACCCCTGTGTCCATGCTCCCTCTCCAGGTTGTTCCACTCACTATTCTACACACAACTTAATTGTTCAGTAACAATATATCATTGAGTAAAAGGCTTGAATCAGTGAACTGTGTATTCCCTTTACCTAGACATGGTTCCATCATTTATCTCAAAACTCCAGGAGATTCCTAATAATGTCCTGGTATTTTCCAATGTTTTCTCTCAAGTGTACACAATCTGATCTACTAATATGCCATTCACACAACTTATGAAAACGATCAGTTTGATACCAAAACAACTGCATTTGCTAGGTAAATAATGCTTGAACGATATTCTACTTTTGAAAAGGATCAAAGACTCCAGTCACAAGGGTCTGAAGGGAATAAAGTAATTCAATGAACTTATTTTTCAGGTACATAAAAATATCCATAATTTTGCATGTTGTTCTTGTCGAGGTTAACCTTTGTCTGACCTGTGTAACATACACACCAACAAAATCTATTGATGGGAATAAAATCACTGAACACCAAAGTACATATTAGTAAGGCTGTTGACCAATATATTGCCACATAAGTATGTGGCATAAGTATACTTGCGATGGTATAAAAATACATCTCATCCACAGTAATGTCTTTCCATCTTCCCATTGGTAACGTCACGACTATGTTAAAACATACGTTTGTCATTGCTTACTAGTAATGAGTGTTACGCCAATACTATTTTCATTAATGTCGTCTTCTGTGGTTTACTATGACTCTTGGAGATAGCCCGAGGCACACTACTGTACCACGTGAGCCAACGTATATACATCACCTGTATCATCATCACTGGCCATTAAGTCATCATTACTACTCATATCAGTACCTAAACTACGAAAGAATGCTAGATTTTTACTTATTCTGTGGATGTGTAGAGGATGTACTGAGGCCAGAGATAACGAGTGGGCACTGTTCTCGGCATTTTCCCGTCAGTTTTGTTCATCTACATCTCGAATCCATAGAACTCCGTTCCTGAATTATTCTCCTCATGGTTTGATGTAAACAGAATGAAAATAAGTGAATGGAAGTGTGCCACGGTGGACTAGCATCCTGTTCCCGCGATGCCCTCTGAGGTCTGTAGTTGACTTGTTTACCATGCGCGGGAAACATGCACATCCATTTTCTGAAGCCTAAGTCTACCAGTCCTCTCGTAGATCTACAGCACGGACACTGAACCTACTCACATAGATCTACCTGACCAACAACTTAAGTGATAAAGTATTCTTGACTGGTAACATGCATCCATTAAAGTCGATAAACTCTAAATCCTTTTAATCAACCATCAAGCAAATTCCCATTTTAGAAATAAACGATATAAAATACCGACAAAATAAACACATAAGTAGTATAATGTGATACATCAGTGACAATGTTACACTCACATAGTGGGCTTTATCAAGTCACAAACCTGGGTGCAAGGTCCGTGAGTATTTATAGGATGTTAGGTGGAGAATACCGGTTAAGTTGGATCTGATAAGGATCTGGACTGGACTGGCGGGTGTGTAGTTATGTGGGATAACGATGATGAAGTTTCTTGACAAGAGGTTCAGTTATGTTATAGAAGCCGTTGTTTCACCCAGATAGATCTGTTTGTGACTTGATAAAGCCCACTGTGTGGGCGAAACGTTGTCAATAAAGAGTCACATTATACTGCTTATGTGTTTATTTTTCCAAATACTTGTTTTCGTTAATACAATCTACGTTCTACAAAGAAACCCCTTCTGTTAAATTGCTGTTCTAATTAACATATATATATATGAATATATAACTACCATTTTTTTTTCACTCTTAAACGATAAATAGGGAAAGTCCGAAACGGGGGAGAAATTTTCACCTGTAAGGAGTTTATACAAGATATATTAACGATGTCTTCAGTGACCATTGATGCTCACCTTGGTAGTAACGAAGACATCTTCTCTCTTTAGTTTCCCACTGCTAAACAACTTATCCAACTCGTCACCAATAATATGTTCATTCTGGTACATGGTTGCAGTGTCAATGTGTCGGTATCCAAACTCAAAAGCCTCACGTAATACCACTCGGAATTCATCATTTGCCTGAAAATTTGCACATATAGAATTAATAAAACATTAAACATTTGTTTATGTTACGAGCCAATAGTCTTAAGGTAGTCACACAATGCTCATTTAGACTATCAGTTTCCTTCTTCAAGCACTCATCATCTTACTAATTTTCTAACTATAATTATAGAATTAAAGCTGTGTGACTGGTAAATGTTGTGAACTAGTGCCACATATCAAGCACCTGCACTCTGGGATCCTTGTACTATTTAAATAAACTAGACACATTTTTGTAACAGTACGATCCAAGAAAGGTATCCCTATATATTGCATAACTATTCCTTTTGCAGCATAAGTTATAATGCACTTAAATTTTGAAATGAATCAGAAGAGACTTTGACAGATCATCATAGGGAACAGAGCCCAGCTCTAATTCAATCATTCCACTAATTAACACCAGCTCTAAAACTGAACTGAAGAGACATTCTCTTGTTATCTCAGCTCACGATCTGATCATACACCAGTTTTAAATCTAAAGCTGCTGAGACGTTAGGTTCTGAAGTTATCTGATGAGGCGCTCAGAAATGATCTCTGTTAAGCTTTATTTAAGCTCTGGTATATAACATAAGTTTTTTATACAGTGAATTTGTAGTACACAGATGCCATGGGCACATTGAAGTATATTATATGGATTTCTTAACACTGGCTTATTTCTGATCAAAAGAGATATTCACAAAATACTTCACTGAAATAAATTTCATTAATAAAACTGCCACATTAAAACTTACACCACTTAAAATCTAAACAAAGTGAAGAAAACACATCATCACTGAAAGTTGAAATCGAGCTGAAGATGTATTCTCCAGTGGGGCTATGTCTGCTGTTTTTAGTGTGTGTGTGTGATGACCTCTGTGTCCATGCTCCCTCTTCATAAAATGCTGAAGGCACGCGATAGGGGCTTGGATTGTCGACCCTTAGAGTGGGCAGTGGCTCCCTAAACAATGAGTCATATTGGGAATTCAGTATCTCACTCATTTCTTGGCTGTCATCTGTGTATGTTTCATCCCGACTAAGCAGAGGCCCAACACTGAATGTTGTTTTTCCCTTAGATTTGGCATAAGAGAAGAAGTATTTTGGCTTTTTTTTTTCAATTTCCTTTATGGCTTTTAGTTCTTCCTGTGATTCTTGTCTCCTATAAGATTCCTTCAGCTTAAGTTCGATATTTGCAATTTCATTGACTAATGCTTCCCTTCGTATTTTCAGCAGCTCTGTGATTCTTCGCCTTCGTCTGTATATATACACATAGTGTTTATAATGTTTATAGACATACATTTGGAGACGAGACTCATCGCCTCCTTTAGATTTCACTGTTATATATAAGTAAGGAAGTTATATAGTGTAAGCTTTCATATATTAACAGTGGCATTTATATATATGTGAAAGAAATGTACATGTTTGATTAAGTTATACAGTGTACATTGTGATGTGTATAGCGTTTTATGCGGCTCAACAGTGTTCCAAGCTGAGTCCGCATCAACACAGGAAAGTTGGCATCAAGGGTCAGCCATATGCACCCTGTACCCTTCAAGGTCACTGACCCTGAGGTTATGGTTAGTGGGTCAGTAGTAATGCTGACACAAACACTCAGCTGTTTATAGCAGTGCAGTGTGTTTGAACACTCTAAGTGTGGTGCTAGAATTATCAGTATTACAGTACAATGGCTTGCTTCAATACTCAATTTACCTCTTTACAGACTATGATTACACAATTAGAACAACTAATTTCAGATTGTGTAGGGTTAACCCAAGATACAAACATAGATTTTGACGATCTTGAGGTAAAACTGGAATTACTTACTCAGCATCTGGAAATAATTAATTCACATTATGCGAAATATGAAAATGAATTCATAGAATCAAATCCACCTAAGAATGACATTAACCCATAAACGGTCCAAATGTATATATACGTTCTTACCGCTAGTGCCCCAAACATATATATGCATTTTATTTTTCCTGCCTTCAAATTTGGCACGATTGGCCTGAGATGCCTCGTCAGCATAGAATGGGTCTTAACACTCAGTGTGCACAATATTAAAAAAATCTGGGACCACTTAGTACCTTGTGGGAGCACCAGTTCAAATGAGCGCCAGGTAGAGCAAACAGCACAGCAAACACCTGGGATTCGCTGATTTCATGTAGTATTAACTCTCCCTAGACCAAATAATATTTCAAACTAATTTATATGCCAAGCAAATAAACATACATAGTACTTTTGTAACAGATTCTGAAGAAATCACGAGGTTCATAGATATTGTGCTGTTTATGGGTGTTTGGCCATACTCATCATTACTTGACGATTGGGCAAGTGAAACTAAGATACCCCAGGTTACAGAAGTCATGGGATCTATGAGGTTTAGGTTGCTAATGAGTACAATTCATTTCAATGATAACGCACAAAAGAAGGATAATGACAGATTTCACAAAATAAGGCCTCTTTACACTGCACCTACTAATGATTGCTTGAAAGTTCCAAGCAGTCTGTTGATGAAGTTATGGTTGGTTTCAAGGGTAAAACCGCTGGAAACCTAAGGCAGTACATCCAAACCAAACCAGACAAGTGGGGTTTCAAACTATTTTGTCGTGCAAGTGAAGATGAATTCTTACATGTATGAATTCCTACTCATGTATGAAGGTAAAACAAGTTTTGACAACCATCCTATAAAGCTGCCACATGAAGAAACTAAACTACCAATAAGTTCTAAGATTGTTCTGGTACTTGCAACAACTCTCACCAAAGAAATACATCAGCAATCTATGCTGACAATTTCTTTTCAAGTCTACCGTTGGTCAAGTTACTAAGAGACAAATATAACTGCAGATACACTGGAACAGTACGTGACAATAGATGTGGTGAGCCAGAACTGATGCCCGTCCAACAAATGGAAAAGAGCATAGTGCCCAAGGGCACTTTTGACTTCAAAACCAATGATGGAATCCTTGTTGTAAGATGGAAGGACAACAAAGCTCTGACTTTATTGACAAATGATGTGGGGGTTAATCCTGTGACTCTTATTGAAAGATATAACAAGGATTCCAAGAAGAAAGACCTAGTACAGTACACTGAAGTCATCAAGAACTATAATGCACACATGGGAGGTATTGACAAAAGTAACATGTTGGTGCATCTTTACCTATGAAATCTAAACGTTGGTACATGCTGCTCTTTGCCTATGTTTTTGATCTTGCTGTTGTGAATGCATGGCTTCTTTACTGCCGTGATTGTCGATCACTAAAAACCAAATGCATGCCACTGAAGCAATTCAGGCTTGAAATCTCTCTCACTGCAAGATCCAAAGGACAAACGTTTAGATGCAGCAACACAAAAATTATAAGAGCTTCTAGTGGTGCCAGTCATGCTCATGATTTGTCAGCCTTGCAATTGTTATGTGCAATGCAGTACCAACGTGCAGAAAGGCTTGATTACAGTGTGAGGTTGGATAAACAGCTAAGTCACTGGCCAGTGCTGGGCAAGCAACTTAGTTGCAAATATTGCAGCACAAAGAAACATCATGTCACATCCATATGTTCCTGTGGCATATGCAAAGTAACTCTATGCATCAAGAAGGACAAAAATTGCTTCATAGACTTTCATTTGATCAATTAGTGATCTAGAATGATTGCTCTTTCTCAGGAAACTCAGGAACATGGGACTTGAAAGTTTTATCCCTTTGCAATGTGTCTATATTGCTATTTGGTTGATTGCTATATTTTTTAATACTTACCAAGTGTTTGGAAACAAGTTCCATTTATGCTTTTGATATTTTCTATTTGTATAATAAACTAGAAAAATAGTTTTTTGGTGTTTTATTAACAATTGCAGCTTTGCAACATTTAAAATTATACACCCTTTAAGGGCCAGAATCTGGTTTGAGAGGTCCTCGCATATTTGCAAGTGATCGAAAACGAATTCCCAAAAATCCATTAATATGACCTCATTTCCATTTCATTGATATACTCTATTCACTCATAGGAAATACATTTCGAACTCTGATTTTTTGTATGCTTGCACCGTTTATGGGATGTCTTGTGAAAGGAGAACCATACGAACTGATTAAGTCATTTCTGGTGGTTACAGGCAATTATCATCTAGTCTAACGAGTCTTAGTAGAAAATTACTTTGATGCTGACAAAACCAGGGTTAGACATGCAGTCTTAATTTCAAGCTTGAAGCCACCAAAACATTGTTTTTCAGATTTACAGTCGTTTAGGATCACATTAGACAATAGTCTCAGATCTCTAGGTGCTAAATATGACCTAAGACAATGTGATTAGTTTATCAGTGGTACTGTACAGGAAAAGCTGTCAAGACAAACTATTGAACGATTTAATATTATTTTTCAATAAATGCTATTTCACTAGTGAAGAAATTAGCAATATTTTACGAACAATATTTCTTGTATGCAAGCAACGAGACAAGATGAAAAATCCATAATCCTGTAGATAATAAATCTTCAACTCAGTATACAAAGAGTACTATTACTAAAAAATAACATAATGGGAAATCCCATGTAGTCACTTATCAAGCTGTGAATACAACAGACAGTAAACAGACTGTCACACATAAGCGTACTACATTTAGCACAGTATTGCAGTCAATACTCAGCAATGGAGGCACGTAAACAATGTGCTCATCAGCTGAGAAAGTGCACTAAGTGTTTAAATGAACTAAAGGGAGGTAAATGCTCACTGAAGAAGTGTTTTAAATGCAAGGGCATGCATCATACAGCATTATGCCCAAATACTTATAAGAAGATAAGAACATAAGAAAGAAGGAACACTACAACAGGCCTACTGACCCATGCAGAGCAGGTCCATGTCTCCCCCCGGATTAGCCCAATGACTCCCCCCCCCCGGATTAGCCAAATGACCCACCCAGTGTGGCCACCTCCACTCTAGGAAGGAGCACGACACCAGACCCAGCAGCACAAACTAGTCAGGTCCAACTAATACCCACCCACACCCACTCATGTATTT